GAGAGACACCGTAGCAACTCCTTTGTGTTTGGAAGCGGGGGGTGGGGGTGGGGGGAGGACCAGGGAGGATGATTCAACCACTCAACCACTAGATGTCACTGAAAACAACAAATCCTACACACTGTGCCGTTAAGAAGTGATATCAAGGCTTATTTTATACAAAACCGTTGGCTCTTGTGTTATTAGAAACACGTGTTACAGTTATCTACAGTTCTCAGTGATTTATAAAAGTATTTGTTATAAACAGATAGTTTGTATTTTAGTAGAACTTTTGGTTCAAGCTGTATGTGTGTTACCATGTGTTCTTTCTCTTAGCCTAAACAAAACTGACTGATGTCTGACGTAACAGGTAACACCTCTGGGGTGTAACCAGGAAGAGATGTACACTATAAGCTGAATTCATTATTATAGTAGAAAGAAAGTTGTCGGGGTGTTAAGAGTCTCTGCTTCTGAGCAGAGTTGTGCTGCTGTGTTTGGGTTTTCCTGATATCAGCCCAAGGTCTGACAGGCCTGTGCGCTGAGTGCTGTTCTTTGAACCTGATTGGAGTCAGAAGATTGAAAATAAAGTTTTAAAGAAGAAATCCAACTGAATCCTGTTTATTCGGACATACCATTTTGAACAATGCTTATTTTTCCAACAATTTGGTGACCCCGACGTGATGGATGATCTTGAATAAGCAGAGAACATTGGATTTTATTTTTGGCTGTTGAAGAAACTGAGAAGATTTTTGAAACATCATCTGCTGAGAGTGAGTACAGAAAAGCTTCAATGATGCCTCCTTACTTTTCCAAAGAGGATTTCTGCCAGCTTCTCCAAAAGGTGACGGTGTTGGAGCTCAAGATTCATCGTCTGGAAGAGATGAATGCTTTGGAGAACTCAACATGTGTTCAAATGGATGAGAAGGCTGAGAGGAGAGATCAACATGGAGAGGAGATGGAAACTGCTTCTGAGGGTGAAGCTGTATGGAACTCTGTTTGTGCCAGACCAAAAAATCTCTCAGGAAGGATTCAGCTCTTAGATGACATCGAATGGCCAGAGTTACAGAGAAATGTTTTCTCTCCACCTGCAAGGAGAATAAAGCAGCGAAAGGCTGTAATCAAAACACCTGATAACGGCCAGAGAAATGAAGCAGTGTTTCTTCAAAACAGATTCACACCACTGGAAGAAGCTGAGTCTGAACAAAGTTCCCTATCTGACCTCAGAGAGGGACCTGAGACCAGATCCAGCTCAAAGCCTAAGCAAGTCCAAAGAGAGACTTTCAAGAACCAAGAAATGCTGATCATCACAGATAAAATGGTGAATGAGATCAGAGGCTTCTGGAACAAGAAAAAAGTCAAAGTTCTGAGTTTTGCTGATAAAGTGTCTGAACTCACAGAGAAGATTCTGGAAATCTCAGCAGAATATCCAACTGTGAATACACTCATCATTCATACAGGAAGTGATGAAGTTATGAACCGACAGTCAGAACTCCTGAATTAGGATTTTATTCAGCTGCTGAATGCAGTTAAAAATCTCAACATGGATGTGTTCATCAGTGGGCTCGTTCCTACAGCCAGAGGAGGAGCTGAGAGGTTCAGCAGACAGTTGGCTCTTAATGGCTTTTTGGAAAAGTCCTGTGTTGACCACTCTGTGAGATAAACAGGTAAAAGTTATTGTAAAACATATTGGTTTGTTTTGGCAAATGTCTTTTGTAATGAACTCGTCTCTGGTTATGAAGTTGACTCTTTATACCAGTCGACTGAACAACATAAACAGATAAAACTGGTGATGAATATAACTAACCACTGTGGAAATGTCTCAGTTTTACCCCTGACCTTTGTGTGTTCTTTAGCCTTCATAATGCTGTTTGATGACTGTTTTGTAACAAACCTTTGAGGCCAAAACTCATATTATTTTCCTTCCACTTCACATTTATCCCCCAATTTTTTGTTGTATAATTAGGCAATTTAGTCATTAGACTGAATGCTTTTTCATCTCTTTCCTGCTGGTTTTCTATCATTTTTCTGTTCTAAGTTTGGGTCTATTTTACTTTCTTTCCCTAGTTTAGCTTATAACAATTTATTTTACTTTAGCTTTTTACCATTTGAAGCATCATTCTTTGTCGTAATGTCCTGGTGGTTCATCTTCATTTCATCATTCCCTTCCTGCTGCCCTCTGATTCATTCATCCCACCTTTTAGTCAGCTCTTCCCTTGTTTCTGTCTCTTATCATCCTGTCCTTTCTGTGTGACACTCAGGCAGTCAATCAGGCAGGTGCTGGTCCATACAGTGAGAAGGTGAGTTTCCGGACCCCGGCAACAAATCCCGACCAGGTCTCGTCCCTCACCCTCCTGGACCTCCCGAGCTCCTCGGAGAACGGCCACTCCCCGTCTTCCTGTCTCCTCTTGAAGTGGGACGAGCCCAACAGTAATGGTGCAGAGATCACCTCCTACATCATCACCGTGGACGAGCAAACCATGACTGTGGAGTCGGGGACTAGTCACCTTGTCACGGGCCTGCAGCCAGACAGCGAATACAGGTACTGAGTCACATCTGCAAAACGAGTTATTGTCTTTGACACAAAGTAAACCTTACATATATAGCCTGCCTCATTAACATCACAGCTCAGAAACATTTGAGTCACAAATAAATGTCCAAGAAATGTGTAGTGACAACAACAATGCACAACTTCTCTGGGAAGAAAATGGTAGAAACAAGTCTCATGAGATCAGATGTTCTCACCACCAGTGTTTGATGGCTGAAAAAAGATTATTTTTTACACCTTAAAAAGAATCATATTTATCAGTGCAGTTTTAATACATACAGAAACATACAGTAATGTCAGAAGACCATTTCCAGACAAAAAAATTTTTTCCACGGTTTCCCAAAAACGCCACTTAAAGTAGACATGTTTTTAAATCCTCCTTTTTCACATTTAAATCATTCAGTCAGGGTCTATAGAAAGTGGAATTCCTCCTTATTGTAACTCCACAAGCCCCTCTTTCACCCCTTTTCAGAGGTGTGTCTCAGATCAACTCGTTTTGAGGCTGGCTCTTTAAATCCAAACGAGGCGCTTCACACCCCGCCCCCATCCAGGATCCAGACCGGTCCATTCCAGTTTGATAGAGGAGGTTGCACTTACCTATTGGCACAGAAACTTTTTTATTTACAAACTAATTACAAGATGTCAACAACAGAAGACTTGTCCATCCAGCCTTACATGTTGGAGCCAGAGTCTGACCCAGAGTCTGAGGAGAACAAAGACCATCAAATTGTAGTTGGTAGGTCCAGACTTTCTGTCACAAATTCTGTGACATAATAGTTCAGAAAACTGAACGAGCTGAAAAATTGGACCCAAACAGAATATAAAGATATCTACGCAGCACCAGGAGAGACTAAATTAAACTCTTTTACACTCCTAGAGACTTGAAATACACAACTAAATGTATTTAAGAGCTAAAAAGTGGATTTTGCATGATATGTCTGCTTTAAGGAACTGGGACTGTTGTAGACGGCTGGATCAAACTCACTTCTCACTCATTTATAATTAGTAACAGATATGAGCTTTATTACCTGCAGGTATTACCTGGGTGATAGAAATCTGTACCAGTCATACTGATAATTTAAACTTTTTATTACATCATATTTAATGTGAATAATGAACATTTCCAAAAACATTTGTTTAAAAAATGTGTTTTTGCAGCATTTCAAACACCAGCATCATATTGCACTATATAATAGCTTGTTTTTTTCCCCCTATTGAAAATAAAATGTAGTTGTTGTTTGACCATGTGTGCTGAAGCCTTCTGAGGTAGAAGTGAAGGACAGCAGCAGGTTACTGTCAGCAACAGAAGATTTGTATTTGTTGTCGTCTCATTAGTGGAAACTTCTCTTTTTACTTGGGGCACACGTGTGTGTGTGTGTGTGTGTGGGGGTGTGTGTGTGTGTGTGTGTGCGTGTGTGTGTGTGTGTGTGTGGGGGGGGGGGTCTTTAAAAACGTCAAAATTCAATTGGATTACTATTCAGAAGGCTGCGACGTGAATATGGAACAATTATTGATGCAATTCGATTATGTTGATGCATCGGTTCCATTTCTGGATGTGTACATGTTGGGAAAAAGGCCGTTTTAGCTTCTGCAGTCTGGGCAGCGAAGCCTCTGATGCCTCCGCCCACTCTGATGCTCTCTGCTTGTTTCGTTTGAGAGTTCCGATTTAAAACGTCGTCCTTAATAACACTTGTTTTTCTCAATCTAAACTCCCTGCTTCGTCACTGACTTTAGTCAAATAAACAGAAGTATTTATTTACAGGACTACATAATTCATTTAAAACTCAGGATCAATATTTGTCTTCGGACATGATGGTAACTCGGATCTCTGTTTACCAGTCGAGAGGCTTCTGATGCTTCTGGCGCACATTTACACCACAACACTTGCCTTCAAACTAAAATAAACAAACCCTGCAAAAGTCTGTTTCAAATGGGGGGGGAGGGGGGAGATTTTGGATTTTCTTGCAGCCCAATGAGGAAGAGGCTGGATGTGTCCCACCGGCAAGTCACTGCCCACGTGTGGTTTAACAGGTTTCATAATGTAAAAAACCCACAGTACCTGATATTATTTACAAAATATAGACATGATATCCTTATGCTACTGGATGTCTGATCACCACGTTTATCAGAATCTTTTGTGGAGATTTAAAACCCCAGTTTGGAAAAAGTGCAGACAGTGTGTTCAAAATAGAAATAAAACCAATTGCAATGATTTGCTGATTCACTATAGTAAACACAGACAGGATTCCATGCAACCTTCAGGTGAAAATGAAGACCCCAAACCCAGACCCAAACCAGTGGTTATTCTGTATGTTGCGGGTGTTTCGGAGAAACTGAGACGTTTATTTTCTAAACATGATGTCCCAGTGGCTTTCAAACCCCAAAACACATTACGGCAAAGGCTGGTTCACCCCAAAGATCCGGTGCCCCGGCACAAACAGAGCAATATTGTATATGCTGTTAAGTGCCAGGAGGACTGCGACCAGTTATACATCGGGGAAACAAAGCAGCCACTGTTCAAAAGAATGTCCCAACACAGACGAGCTACATCTAATGGCCAGAACTCTGCAGTTTTCACTCATTTACAGGCCAGCGGTCACTCTTTCAGAGATGAGGATGTTCTCATTCTTGATAGAGAGGAACGTTGGTTTGAGAGAGGAGTAAAAGAAGCCATTTTTGTGAAGAAAGACCGTCCATCATTAAACAGAGGTGGAGGCCTCCGTTTTCAGTTGTCCCCCTCCTACAGCGCTGCTATTGCCAGTATCACTCCACCCCCTGTTAACAATAGGTGTTAATTAGGTGTGAACGATAGCCATGTGATGTGAGTATCAGTCACATGGAGGCAGGGCTTAAAAGCCTGAATTTTGCCTGAAACTCTCAGACTGAAGAAGTCTCTTGGAGGAGAGATGAAACATTTCATTAGAGAAGAACCCGTCCAGAAGACCTATACAATTTTTTTTCTTTGATTCAAATTAATGTCATTTTGAGTTTGAAAGAAGCACCACGTTTCAAAACAGTAGCCCTCGACACTGTGCTGAATCTCTGCTCATTTTTACTTCTGAGAGATCCAGCTTCACTAGAATTCTGTTTTATAGTCTCTTTTTGACTTGCTGCCAATGATCCTGCTTTGTTTCAAAATGCTCTTCTAGCTTTTTCTCGTATATAACACCACAGTTTGCCGCCTTTTGTCGCCTCTTTCCCAACTAATTTAAGACATGTTGCTGAAATCAAATTCAAACTTACACCTAATTATTTTGTAAAATGGAACAAATTATTTGTTTAAACATGCATATGCTTAATATGTTCCATTATTAACCAATCGATCCATACATTTTTATTACCCTCATTTTACTAAATGGGTTGCGAGGAGCTGGGGCCTCATGTATCAGTAGTGCGTACCCACAAAAAGCTTGTGTACACCCCTTTTCACGCAAAACTTCAGATGTATCAAAGATGAAATGAGCATAGAAATGTGACCGTACACCATGTTTCTTTAAGAAATCCATGCAAGTCTTTGTGCATGAGGCCCCCGGTGCTTTTCTCCAGCATTCAATCAGAGATGGGAGGTGAGGGACATCCTGGACAGGTGTCAAGTCCACCACAGGGACACATGGAGACAAATGAGATGGACAACCATTCACCATCACCTAGAGACAATTAAGAGTTATAATGAATGTGTATAGTGTGCGGGAGGAAACCTGAGTACCTGGAGAATACCTGTGTGTGTACAGGGAGAACACGTGAACGCCACACAGAAAGACCCGAAGAGAGTGGTGACTGCTTAAACCACTGCTCCACTGTGCCACCTTCAGTTCAGTTCATTTTATTTATATGGTGCCAGTTCACAACAAAAGTCATCTCAGTGCACTATTCAAAAGAGAAAAGAACACGTTCAAGTCATAAATCCAATTTAAATTCAATTACAGTCAGGGTTTATAAATATAGATTTATGTGATTTAAAAAAAACATTGTTTTCTGATTTTGTTTACGTTTTACACAAAATCCCAGCATTATGAGAATAGAGGATGCATTTGCAAACTCTTTAACTGGGATGCTGGTTTGGACTAATTTAGAGTTTTTGAATGAGGTTATATAATTATTAGCCTGGTAAAAACCAGACCCTTGTCCTTCACTTTGCTTCGTACGAGGGTCTGGACTCCCGGCTATAGAGAAGTGATTCTTGCTGGAGGCGTGGCCTCTGCTGAAGTGTCGTTGTGAAGGAGGCTAAGCTAAGAAGCTTAGGGCTGTAAACAACCCTACTGAGAGGAGAAAAGTACAGAGACGACTGTAAATGAGAGCTGCTGCTTTGTCAGACAAATTAAATTTAATTTGGAAGCCTTATCAACACGGATTGGCTTCATTCACTTCCTCCACTGCCGTATGCTAAACTAACTAGCAGACGCTGCGCAGAAAATCGACGTCTTTCAAAACTCCACCTTCTGTTTGCTGATTGGCCCAGGTAAAATAAACTACAAGCAGACACTGCCGATGTTCTGTTCTGTGATTGGTTTGGCTAAAAATCTGCCAGCGAAATCCTTGTCTATGGGAGAAGTCCCAGACGGAGCAGTGAAGGGAAACTAGAATTGAGCGGAGCTGCTTATGAAGGCAAGGGCCAGGCTATATTATTATACCAGCCAATTTTCTGTGATGTAAACAAGCAGCAAAAAGAACCATCATGGTGTACAAAACCATTAGATAACTTAATGTTGATAAGTAAATGTATTTACTAATCTATTTAAAGTGATAATCAGACCTTTCCCCCATATTAACAATTATTTCCATCTCATACATAGATGTTAATCTAATACAACTTTTAAGTGGATTTATTGGAGTCAGCTGTTTAATGTTTGCAGGAACTGTAAAGTGACACCTGTTCCAACCAAGCAGCCGTAAACAGCTACTTAATCATCTGTATTACCAGCTACTGTTGTGAACCTTCCTCTTTTTACAATAACCAACCTTAACATTATGATTATGGACAGTTAAAATAAAACTACTCATCTTATAAGAAAAACATTTTCTTCAGGGAAAATCTCCATCATGATGGAGAACACAGAATTTATAAACTGCATTAGTTTTAATATATAAGGACATTCTTTGTCCATTGCTCTGTCCAGTCAGATCTGTTTTGGTGACAAAGTATGAGCTGATTGTTTTTCCTGGTGAATTTATAGCCAGTTCTCTGAATTGACAGCACAAACACTCTGCAGGGTTTTATGGGAAATTGTGGAGGGGCAGGATGATCACCCCACTTGCCCACTGTTTTCTCTCTGAGGTTGTTTTTGTCCCAGTGTCGCTGCGCTCTCTTGCATAATGGCTGCCGCTGAGGCAGAACACGGTGCGTGTGTTTACTTGTGCATGTGGGCGTGCATGTGTGTGCACACAAGCACACCTGTGAAGTGGAGTTAGGTTTTTTTTTGTTTGTTTTTTCTGCTTGTGAGGGCCAAAGAGTGTAGTTCTGCCCGTCACTTTCAGATGTGGGTGTTTGTGTGCTTCATGTTTTATTAGCATGGCCTTGTGAACCACCACAATAAACAGTTTGTTGTTGACAATGATGGGGCTCCCCTCTGCCCGTGCTGAGGAGGACTCTCTTACATCTCTTCAAAACAAACAGGCAGCATTCTGCTAGTTCACCTCTCACAAGAATTAGTTCAAAATTCAGCTCACTCAAATTGAAACTGAATTAATTTAACCTCATGTTTACAACAAAAAAAAAAAAACCACTATCCCTCATTTTTTTATTATGCAGCCTTAACAGTAAACTACACTTCCAATCCAAGAACAAGGTCACACACTAATATTTCGTTGTTCCTGGAGTTTAAAGCAAGATCTTGTATTGATGATGGGAGATTTGGACGACTCCAACACATCTGAAAGATCTTTAGGTCTGGACTCTATGGTGGCCAATCCATGTGTAAAAATGATGCGTCATGCTCTCTGAACCACTCTTTCAGAATTTAAGCCTGATGAATCCTGGCATTGTCATCTTGGAACATACCCGTACCACCTGGTCATTCAGTATATTCAGGTAGTCAGCTGACCTCATTCTTTGAGCTCATGCTGTTGCTGAACCTAGACCTGACCACCTGCCTCCACAGGTTTGTTTACAGGCACTATGATAGGTGCGTCACGTTAACCACGTTTTTTCTTACCCTGATGTGCCTGTCACTCTGGAACAGGGTCAGTTTAAACTAATCAAACCACGACTATTGCTCCAGAGTCCAGTCTTTATGCTCCCTGGCAAATTGGACAGCGGGTTCTGACGTTATCAGTCCATTAAATGGACGTTATTAGCGATTATCAGTCCCATAGAATGGCTTCAGTCTGTCCCAACAGTGCCTCCTAGTGGGTTAATATATCAATGACATTGAATGTGTAAATAACAAAAGCATATTTTAATAAATCTTTTGTCCTGGGTGGAGGGGTGGGGTGGGGCTGTTTTCTCGCTGCCCTTGCCTGGTCTCGGTCCTGGCTCTCCCGCTCTCTGGTCCGGCGCTCTACCCGTTGCTCTACATTGGGCCTGCAACAATGGTCTACTTTATCGTAGCCCATGTCATTTTCTCTAAAATTAACCTTAGTGGTTTTATGCCTCATATTAACCAGATGGCCTTAAAAAACGTAGTGGCTTTATTCCTCATACTAACCAGCTGACAATCTGAAGCCATTCTATGGGACTGATAACAACTAATAACGTCCATTTAATGGATGATAACAGCCGAAGCGGGTGAATTGGAAATAATTTTTTTCCCATTAGCCTCTCTGATAAGTGATTTTCTTACAGCTACACAGCTATTTAGTCCCAATCCCTTGCGTTCCCTTCACATTAGCACCTTCTCCAAGGGCGTTCCTCTCACTTCTCATTGATTCAACTTTGGCCAAATGTGCCTCAATTTCCAGTTCCTGCGCAGTTTTTGGATCCACCCCAAAGGTGGTTCTAGGCGGGTCAACCAAGCATTGTATGCAAGCGATTTTGACATCAGCAGAACACTGTCATCAAAAAATATGCAGACACACACATTTATAAACAGTGTCTTAAAAATGAAGTCCGACTACAGAAAACCACAACAGCCAACGTCGCTCACTGATGATCTACTCACAGTCTTGCCTACAGAGTGAGGGACACACTGCCATGGAGACACACCTACACTTGTGTAGAACCGTGAGACTTGACAATGGAGRAGCTGCTATAGAGCTTGTAGAAATGCTCTTATTGTCATTATTAAACATAGTAGTGAGTTCTGCTGTTGATTTCACCAAACATTTGTGTTTGACAGATCGTTGAAGATGTCTCTCCAACCACATTCCTCACTTGAAGAGAATATTTCCCCACTCTCCTTCCTGTTTTTAATTACACGTTGGACAATTCTTAACCCTATTAGTAGTTTCAGAAATTGCTTTAGTTGTTTTCTCTGATTGATGCCAATAATTTGACCCTAAACAGATTAACATTTTTTCCACAACCACAGTTTGGGTCTTTCAACAAGGTTGCTTAACAAATAAGCAGCTACGCACTGCATCAGTTAGGGTTAAATAACTTGTTTACAGCTGAAACATAATCATTCATTAAGTAATTATCAAATGGAAAGCTTTTACCTGTTTGGCTAGTTAAATTCTGGTTGTTGTTTTGAACCACAGTCAGTTCAGGAAAATAATTATAACCCCAGTCATCCATGCATTTTTCTTTAAACACTCGGTCGCTTGGAGCCTGTACCCATTTCCAGTGGGCATTGGGTAAGAAGTGGGTTACACTCTGGACAGATTACCAATCCATCACAGGGCTACATAAAGACAAACAAATAATCAAACTCAATGCTCACACCCAGTGACACTCTGTCAAATAACCTAACGTGTGTGATTTTTGTATTGTGGGAGGAAACTGGAGTACCAGGAGAAAACCGATGCACGTACGAGCAAAACATACAAACTCCACACAAAGATTTTGTTGGTTCGGTTAATGATTGGAGTATATTTTAGTGATAAATTTAAGCTACTGTCACACCAGAATTTTGCTTAAAATCTGTATAATTGACAGAATTAAAGTCATGTTTGTGCTTGGTAGGATTTGTGAGATGTTTTGCTAACAGGCTGTCAAACCCACAGATCTGCTGTGGAATTTATTGGGTAAATAGTATTGTAGTTTTTTTTCTGAAACAAAACAGTATGAGATCATTTTGTTTTTACGGTAGATGCGTTTACTGTTTTTGTACAACCATAGTATATACTTTGAATAGTAGTCATTAATATGAGGTACAGATGGATGGATGAGAGTTGCCCTTTCCTCCTCATTTCAACTTATTCGCAGTGAACAAACATGACATTTATAAAAAACAAAAAACGTAATATGTCAGAAGGTAGAATCCCTGTACTGCAAGGATACTAATCATCTGATCAGACACTGAAACAGGAAACATGAAGAAGGGAGGGGGAGTTCTTAGAAGTGAGCCGGCGGGGGAGTTTAGAGAAAAGAAATAGGTTTTTCGTGATATTTTTTTTACTAGTAGATGACGAGTTGTTTTTGAGTTTAGATGCAGAAAGACTCATTTAAATCTTTTATACTAAAGGCACATTTGTATATATATTATATGTAATGTGTTATCCTTGTTAATTATCTTGTAGCACATCTTTTGTAACAGGCAAAGTGAACAAACTAGTTCTGTGGATATTCATTAGTTCCTTTCCCCCCTCTGCAGAACTTTTGTTCATTTAGGAAAAGAAAGAGGCAGGACGTGGTTGTCACATTTAAGTCCCATGCAGGAGAGTGCATTAAATAATAATGTGGAGAGTGGTAATGGCTGAAAGGCTCTTCACTAAATTCGCCTCACCGTTAGACAAATAGCTCTGCTAACGCTCTGAGAGCACACAGGGTTAGATGGTTCATATATTTTCCAGCAGTTTCATGCACATTTTACTTTGAGCTTATCATCACAATCCCTTTGTATATTCTCATTAAAATTCAAATAGTTGTTTATTTGTTTCATTTTGCCACGATGACACCAACCCTTGTTGCACCGCGAGGCGTTCGATTTAATACAAGTGCTTTTTACGGCATAACTGAACATCTCTCGCTAACTCGTTTACTTCCAGAGTGCAAATCCAGGCGGTGAACGCCATCGGCTCCGGCCCCATGAGTCCGTCGCTGCTCGCGAAGACACGCCCTCTGCCCCCAGCGCCGCCCCCCCTCGAATGCTCGGCCGCTGGCCCGCAGAGCCTGAAGCTCAAGTGGGGCGAGAACGGTGGACACACACGCACCCTGCTTGCTGATGACACGGTCTACACACTACAGATGGAGGACAAGAACCACAGGTGGAGTACACACACACACACACACACACACACACACACACACACACACACACACACACAC